CTAAACACCAATTTTGTTGTGTTAGGTTTTGCCTACGATTTTTTGTTAAAAAAAGACCTTCGAAAGCATTGAATAAATTTATATAAAACTGACTTTATTTATTTGTTTATTTATTTATTTTTTTTTTGTGAAATAGGCAAATCGAATATTATCGTTATATTTGTAATCAAGGATAGTAAAGCACAACTACTGGAACAAAAGGAAATATATAGTATAATACTATAATACAAGAACGAGATTTAAAATTAGTGCTTACATTTATTTTTTTAGGGGGAAGGGGGAAAGAGAGATAATGACATATAAAAGTCTGTTAATTCGAAATATTCGGATAAATTTGATAACTAATCAAAAACTTTATTAATAAAACTAATAAAAAGAACAAATTAAGAACTCTGGTCAAGATCTTGTATATAAGTAAATAAGAAGTTTGAATTCTCTAATTATCTTCTTAAATTAAATTATAAATTAATTACTAGTTAAAATTATTAATATTATATTGGTCAAATTAACATCAAAATCGAAAGGGGTTTTAAAAGCAAATAAAAAATTAACATCAAAAGAATAATAAAACTAACATGGTAATAAAAATTTTGTTAATAAAAGATAAAGAAAAAAAATTAACATCAAAAGAATAATAAAACTAACATGGCGATAAAAAATTTGTTAATAAAAGATAAAGAAAAAAAAATTAACATCAAATACTAACATGGTGATAAAAAATTGATAACAAAAAGATTAAGGTCTAGTAAACACAACGCAGGCATAATGAGTATTAGAAATAACATCTAATAAGTCAACTCTAATCTTAAAAGAAGCTGGTAACTGATCTGGTACCAGAACAGTCTTATTAAACATATATTGAGTTTGTCCTTCATCAGATGGAAGTGCCCAAATTTCTAAGGGTTTACCTCCACTAGTAAATTGAATTGTAAGAGTAGTAGTTGGAGGGACAGGATCTTGTAATGCAGTTTTAAAAAAAAAAGTTACGGATTGACCAGCCGTAGGGACATCAGGACCAAAATCTACATCTAAAACAGGTGCTTTTATACCAATCGTTGAACAATCAGCCCATCCAGGATTAGCATTGATTGTAGACAACACAGCAAATAATATGAATATAAAAATAATGATTTTGTTCATGTTTCTTTTATTGTTGAGTTTTTTTTGTAATTTGATATGTATGTGATCTTGTAATGTAGTTAACAAATACTTTGACTTATACCTCTCATTTTATATAAAAATTTTGATCAGGAAATAAATTTATCAGAATGCCTATTATAATTTAATTTTCATAGAAATTTGCAATTTTTAATTGACTCATTTGCTTTAAAAAAAAAGTGAATTACTTATTTTGTATCAGATTGATTTAGCAATTGTTAAACGTCTAATTTTCCAAAAAAAAAAAAAATTTAAATTTAGATTATTTAAT